CAGGTCGATAGAGCCAATGTGAGGAATGCTGGGAGTTCCAGTTGAATAACCATCTGGACAGCTGCATCATTTCCCCTCTCTCCCATTCTGTGCAACACAAAGCCTGCAATTTCCACACAATGGAGCTGTTGCTGTCTCTTTTGAACTATTGATGGATCATTGTGTTGTAACAATCATGTCGTTCCAGCAAGAACAAACACTGTCCTCGCTTTTCAGTCCCTGGAGGAGAGGTGGGTGCAGAATAAACAGAAACAGCAGCCAGCAGGCTTCGAGGGTAACTCTTATTTTGAAAACAGGGATGTTACAAACGTGTCCCTGTTTTCACCTGTGAGATGACAGGGGAGTTGACATCCTGAGACAGCCAAGCCTTGGATCAGAGTATGATCGTACTCAGAAGTAGATGTTATCTTAGGAGCATTTCTGAAAGGGAAGGTGGGAGGGAAGGAGGGGAGAATTCGCATTCCAGATATTGTAGCAAGGCAATAACATACCTGTAACTGGCCACAAAGACTCATGTATAAGTCGACCTCCTGTATAAGCCAAGCGAAGGTTTGGGGACCAAAAATATAGTTTTACATTTTTTGTCGTGTCAGGAGCATCTTGAGAAACTGCGAGTCGCTTCTGGTGTGAGAGAATTGTCCGTCTGCAAGGACGTTGCCCAGGGGACACTCGGACGTTTTGATGTTTTTACAATCCTTGTGGGATGATTCTCTCATGTCCCCGCATGAGGAGCTGGAGCTGATAGAGGGAGTTCATCCACGCTTTCCCCTGATTCGAACCTGTGACCTATCGGTCTTCAGTCCTACTAGCACTTGGGTTTAACCATTGCGCCACTGGGAGTTTTACATGACCCATGGATAACTTGAAGTCATTCCAAGGAGAGAGAAAAACATCAAATGTTGCTTCAAGGTGCAAGCCACTATATTCCTGCCCAGGCATTTTTAAAAACCACAAGTATTCACACAGCAGAAAGAGTAAAGGGGGGGTCATGGTTTCTTTTAGGTTCTCACAGGACGAAGTAAGCTTTTTCCCTTTGTTATTCCATTAAAGGAAGGAAATTGTTTCATTTTTATCATAACTCCTAATAATAATAATAATAATAATAATAATAATAATAATAATAATAATGGATTGTCAATGTTGCAAACCCAGGTGACAGAACAATTAAAGAGAAACAACTGGAAAAGATGACATGATATGAGGATTTAAAGATCGAACTGCAAAGACTGTGGCACAAGCCAGTAAAGGTGGTCCCAGTGGTGATCGGCATACTGGGTGCAGTGCCTAAAGACTTTGGCCTGGACTTAAATACAATTGGCACTGACAAGATTACCATCTGCAAGCTGCAAATGACCACCTTACTGGGATATGCACGCATTATTCGCCAATACATCACACAGTCCTAGACACTTGGGAAGTGTCTGACGTGTGATCCAATACAACAGCCAGCAGAGTGTCTGCTGTGGACTCATCTTGTAGTGTTTCTAATAATAATAATAATAATAATAATAATAATAATAATAATAATAAGCTTTATTTATACCGCTTATTATTTATCCTGGTTTGAAAGTTTTATTTCCTGGTTAATTGTATGTCTACTTTTTTTGAAAGTAGTTGTTATACTCCAGAAACCTTGTTTTGTGGCTGTCACAAACTATGTTGAATTGGAGTTTAGACTTTAGGAGATATTCATTGGAAAACTATAGCAAAATATGCTGCAGGATTAGTAAACTTTTAGTAAACTTTTCCAGTTTACTAAACTGGAGTTTAGTAAACTTTTCCCGTGTTTTTTTGATAGAATTAACTAAGAAATGACATTTATAATACCAGGAACAAAAATTGTGTTACACTGTATAATGCAAGTCTACTATGTACAGAGTCTGGACTGTACATAACTACATTAATGCATCAAACCAAAGTTTTGAAACTGCAATTTACATGTCAAACAGTTTATTTTTAAATCAGGGTTTTATTTGTCGTGTCAGAGCAACCAGTCCATTATATTACATTTCTAACAGAACAAAGCAAACAAACAAATCAGGGTTAATGAGGCCCCAATAAAGTCACATACCAAAAGTGATGTCATGACAGAGTCCCCTTCTACACTGCCATATAAAATCCAGATTATCTGCTTTGGATTGAATTATATGCCAGTGTGAACTCATATAATCCAGTTCAAATGTGGATTATCTGATTTAATAATCTGGATTATTTGGCAGTGTGGAAGGGGCTTGCAAGTGCATCTACATTGTAGAATAATGAAATCCTGGAAGCTGTCGTTTAGTGAGGCACCAGTACTTTTGGCAGAGAAAGCTAAGGATTTTGTGAAACTACAACTCACACAATTCCATAGCATTGATCTATGGCAATTAAAGTGTTATCTATCTGCATTAATTCAACAGTAAAGATGCACCCTAAAACTCATTATTTTACTGGTATGATGAATAAGGATGTAGCGTTATTTTCCAAAAATTTAAAAGAAGTTTTATGGAGTTTCTCGGTGCTTTTTTGGCCATTTCCTGTCAGTTTCCTAAGAGGTTTTGTTCCCCTCCAAAAAGTAAAAATAATCAAAGAAAACATAATGAATAGTGCAATGACTAAAGCAACAAAAACTAAAAAAAGTAGTAAGTAATGAAAAAGGGCTGCTTTAAAACATTGTAATGAAGAATGAAATGAACTACTTTTAAAATACTTTCCAAATTCTAGATCAAATACAAATATAAGATAGGTTACCCCAAAAAAGGCTCCATGAAAACAGACTTCTTACTGCAGTACTGCATCCAAGGGATTCTGGGATGCATTTAAATTTATGTAAGGTTGATGCGGTCAATGGCCTCTAAATTATGCCACCCAAGATTGTTGCCAAGCTTGCCCACAACAAAATCTTTCCAGATTATCCTTCAGACTCCATCACAAGTCCTTTTGCTTGCTCATTTAAGATAGTGATAGCCCACCCTTTGCACAAGCGCGCAAAGGAAAGGAGCACAAGCCAACAAACCAGAAACTACTAGTTTGTAAAAACTTAGTGTCAACATGAGCTCAGTCATAATAACAAAAGACTTTAGAAATAAATATTAATCCCCAAAAAAGCCTAAAATGTTTGTCCATAAATTTTCAGTGGGTTATGAATGTGGGCGTGTTTTGCAACATTTTGGCTTTCCCAAACCACAGAGCTGCTGAACTTGCTGACCAAAAGGTCAGTGGTTTGAATCCGGGAAACGGGGTGAGCTCTCACTGTTAGCCCCAGGTTCTGCCAACCTAGGAATTTGAAAACATGCAAAATGTGAATAGATCAATAGGTACTGCTTCTGTAGGAAGGTAATGGCGCTCCATGCAGTCATGCTGGCCACATGACCTTGGAAGTGTCTGCGGACAGCACCGGCTCTTCATCTTAGAAATGGAGATGAGCAACAACCCCCAAAGTTGTATACAACTAGACTTATTGTCAGGGGAAATCTTTACCTTTACCTTTCCCAACATTTGCCAGCTGTAATGTTTTTTTCGCTTGATATAATAGCTTTTTTTTGGTTGTGGGGGAGTACAACAGCAGGAGGGGCAGAAGACCCCATTGTTTTAAAAACCAAACATTTCATCTAGCTAAGAGACTGCCTTTCATTGACGTGGAAAGGGCTATTTTTCTGCTGCAGATCCAGAATCCTTCCAAAATGCACTCTGCAATGACCTTACCGCTTAGGCTTAAAAATGTGTCTCCTGGCAGCTGTTCCCTCTCTGGATTAGCATCAGTGCAAAAGGAAGGGGGGAAAGACATTCAGAATAACAAACCTCTCATTAGAGCAATAAACCATACAAACTGTGATATGCTTTAACACAAACACACAGAGTCAATGTGCCGATCCACCAGCCTGTTGTCATATGTGTCCATGGTTGTCACTTTTCCCAAAAGGAGGCGATTAGGGTTACCGTATTTGGGGGGGGGGGAGGACATATTTAATAATTGTCTACTTCAAACTGCCAATTGCTATGACAACTCTCACTTTAAATACCCTATAACCTCCGAGATGTTTGTAAAAGGAGCCGTTGCTTGTTAGTTGATTCAGTCCGACAGACAAAGCAGACCTTCCTTGCAGCTTGGTACTATCCCATCAATGGCAACTGGGCATTTCCCTTTCCATCTTCTTTCTTGATGGGTGTTCTTTTCAGAATGGCAGTCCCAATTATGACAGCAGTGGATGCAGTTGCCCCAACCCAGTACAAAGTAGGCAAATCACATAGTAACTCCTCATAGGGCGGAGGATGGCTAGTTTGAAGTCCTCCTTCGCCCTGCTTTAACCTGGCACCTTGTTCTTTGTCTTCTTTAAAATTCTGGCCCCTTCTACACTGCCATATAATCCAGGTTATCAAATCAGATAATCCACATTGTAATTTAAGAAGATACTAGCACTCTTTAGCAAAAAAAAGGCTAACATCCTTGTAAAACTACAACTCCCGTGATTCCATAGCATTGAACCATGGCTGTTAAAGTGGTCTCAAACTGCTTTATATTTACAATGTAAAGTAAATGCAAAGGTTTCCCCTTAACATTAAATCTAGTCGAGTCTGACTTTGGGAGGTGGTGCTCATCTCCATTTCTAAGCCGAAGAGTCAGCGTTGTCCATAGACGCCTCCAAGGTCATGTGGCTGGCATGACTGCATGAAGCTCTATTACCTTCCCACCAAGCAATACCTATCGATCTACTCACATTTGCATATTTTTGAACTGCTAGGTTGGCAGAAGCTGGGGCTAACAACGGGAACTCACCCCAGTCCCACGTATTCGAACTGCCGACCTTCTGGTCAGCAAGTTCTGCAGCTTAGCAGTTGAACCCACTGTGCCACCATGGCCCTCTACAGTGATGCACCTATTGAAGAATTTGAGACATTCAATACAGCACTCATTCATTGTTTTTGGAAACAATACATCTGATATTCGGGAATCCTTGGGTTTCAGCATAAATACTGGAAAGGATTGTCACAGAATCCCTGCTACCTTACTTTTTTAGACAAAGAAAATTCAAGAGTATTCATTAGCGAAGAAGAAAAGAAAAATGTGTCTGCTAGGAAACTGATTCGATTGTTGATGGTTTCTTTTGAACATAATCATGCGGAGGTGTATTCTCTTTTCGGTAGGTGTTGTATTTATCTCTTTGTGTTGGTATTTAATGTCGTCACTGCACTGCATGTATGCTTTTTTTTACAAAAAAAGATCAGGTTACAATTTTTAAAAAGAGAGTGAGACACTGAAAATCATTCACACCTAGGTATCATTATCTGCATCTTTTCATTGGAGGCCCAAGCTGTTTGTGTAAATACTCAACTCAATTTTAAGTTACTTCAATGCTACTAATTAGGGAAAGGAAATTATTGAAGGAAAAACTAGGGGGATATTGAATGTGTATTTAGAGGTGACAGTGCCCTACTTTTTTCCCTTCCTCAGTAAAGGAAGGGAAACATTAAGTCTAGTCAAGTCCGACTCTGGGGGGGTGGTGCTCATCTCTAAGCCAAAGAGCCAGTGTTGTCCGTAGACGCCTCCTAGGTCATGTGGCTGGCATGACTGCATGAAGCTCTATTACATGACTGCATGGAGCGCGGTTACCTTCTCGCCAAAGCAGTACCTATTGATCTACTCACATTTGCATGTTTTCAAACTGCTAAGTTGGCAGAAGCAGGGCCTAGCAGCAGGAGCTCACCCTATCCCTGTGGATTTGAACCGTCAACCTTCTGGTCAGCAAATTCTGCAGCTTAGTGGTTTAACCCACCACCACAGCCTTCCTCGGTAGTTACACATTATTATAGGTGTTAATATTGTATTGCTTATATATATATTTTAAAAATCATATGAATGTATTTATTTTATTCGATATAGAGATTGTCTGACATCCAGTTCAGTATTTACAATACTGTAAACCTGACTTATGATCTCATAGCTACAGGCAACTTTGTATTCATTTCATAAGATCTGACATATTTTCCCCTTTGGAAGCATATTAATTGTGTTATTCTTTTTTCATGTTCCCAGTTTTGTAATATTTGGTTTTTTATGTTGCTGTTTTTATGGCTTTCGTTTTGCTATTGCTTTGGTACTCTGATCGTTAGCTGTTCTCATTTTAAGGCAATGCTATCTATGTTTTCATTGCACACGCACACACACACACATATATATATTCTGTAAAGTAGGTAAAACTAATAATGGCCTGCCTGCCAGCGTTCACCACCCTCCAACTTAAAAGCGGTTCAGAGGTCTCTAAAAGGAAATTGTCAGGGAATACCTTTGGATCTTTCCTAATCAGAGAGACAGCTCACAGTTGTAGCTAAAGCGTGGGCAAAATGAAAGCACAGCCTTCCCCATATGAATTCTGCCCTGGGATGTAATTTTCTATCCATCTCCAAATTTCTAGCATTGCAATAAGTTAAACTTCAGATGAGCATTTAGAAATACAGTATAGGCAGCCAAAGAAAAGGACCGTAATGACAAGGGGAAGGTGAATGCTGTAAATAGAAGTGTTCTTAGGCATGAGCAATTTTTGACATATGAGGCCCAGGCCCGTAGCCAGGATTTCGTTTTGGGGGGGGGGCTAAAAAATTTTCAGGGGGGGTTTCGGGAGGGCTGAGTTTCGGGGGGGGGGGCTGAGTCTGAGTGAAAGAGGGTCTAGCCTAGCAAACCTTTTGTATCATTACCCCAATACCCCCATGCATATGGGATATATTGAGTATGGTGATCAGATCATGATATGAATAAACATAACAGTTTAAATGATGCACCAGTAAGGCCTTTTCGCGAACCACCATGAGAATTTCGGGGGGGGGCTGAAGCCCCTCAAGCCTCCCCCCCCCGGCTACATGCCTGATGAGGCCCCATCTACACTGCCATATAATGCACTTTGAAACTGCATTATATGGCCAGTGTAGATTCATAGAATGCTTTTTAACTGCATTGAACCACATAATCCAGTTTCTAGATCTAAGGCTGGATCGACACTGACCTATATCCTAGGATCTGATCTCAGGATGGATTTACACAGTCCTATATACCAGGATCTGATCCCAATCATCTGCTTTGAATTAGATGAGTCTGCACTGTCAGGTAATCTGTGACAAGCTGATAATCTGGAATGAGATCCTGGGATATAGGGCAGTATAGATCCAGCCCCAGATTATCATCTTGTCCCAGATTATCTGACAGTGTAGACCAGGGGGCCTCAAACTAAGGCCTGGGGGTCGGATATGGCCCTCCAAGGTCATTTACCTGGCCCTCGCTCAGGGTCAACCTAAGTCTGAAATGACTTGAAACCACACAACAACAACAACAACAACAACAACAATCCTATCTCATCAGCCAAAAGCAGCCCAACACTTCCCATTGAAACACTAATAAGTTTATATTTGTTAAAATTGTTCTTCACTTTAATTATTGTATTGTTTTTAAGTGTTTTTTGCACTACAAATAAGATATGTGCAGTATGCATAGGAATTCATTCATGTTTTTTTGCCAATTATAATCCGGTCCCTCAACAGTTTGAGGGACTGTGACCTGGCCCTCTGTTTAAAACGTTTGTGGACCCCTGGTGTAGACTCATATAATCCAGTTCAAAGCATACAATCTGGATTCATAAATTTGGTTATATGGCAGTGTAGACAGTGCCTGAGTCTACATAGCCATATAATACAGTTTCAAACTGCTCACTATGGCAATGTAAATGGGGTCTGATATATCAAAATGTGATCCTTCTCTGGAATGCTAGATTTTTGGAGTTGATGGAAAATTTAATGGATGGAAATCAGAATCTTTATTTGGAGGAATTGCTCTCAGCCCCACAGCACCCCAAAGATAGACATATATGTTCCTCGGATATTATCATAGATTAGATCATATATACAACATTTTAACTCATATGGGAATACCCAGGTTCCTCTAGCATTTTAGGTGATGTCTTATGTTTCCTCTCCCAAGATAGAAATTATCAACTATGCTGCCTTTTACAAATTTTATTTCCTAGTCACAAGGCTCTGTTATTTATTTGTTTTGTATCAAAAGCATTGCATCAATTAGTATAAAACTGATAAAAATAGAAGGAGCACAAGCGGCGAAATGTCTTTTAACCAAAAACGGGCAACAGTGACCGCATTATCTATAGCCTCCAACAATTCTTCCTCTGTACATGAGGCAGGGCATAGTGGACAAGCATACAGATGCAGAGTTATCTGTTCTGCTCCACAGTCACACAAGGTGTGGGATTCTTTTAGGTAGTGCCATTTTACCAGGTTGTCTTTTGTTCTGCCCACTCCACTTCTGAGTCTGTTCAGGGACTTCCAAATTGCCCATTCTTGGAGGAAGACCCTCGTGGGGGGCCATCCAGTTGGGGTTTCCTGGTTTAGCTGCCCAGAGGGATACCCTTGCTGTTGCTGGAGGGATGCCAAGAAGAGTGGTAGTTCTCATAAAGCTTTTCCTTGATTTGAGTCTACTGGGAGGAGACTGGTAGCCATATAGTGGGTGGCTTTCACAGTGCACAGCCTCATTTCTCTCGCATTTAGCAGCAACTTCCCATCGCACATTGGGGGGGGGGGGGCAGTGCCAGCTAGCTTGTAGAGTTTATCAATAGGTGTAGGTTTAAGACATCCTGTGATTATTCTGCATGTTTCATTCAATGCTATGTTCACCTGTTTTGTGTGGACAGACTTATGCAAAACAGGACAGGCATACTCGACAGTTGAGTAAGACAATGTCAGGGCTGATGTTCTTATTAAGTTTGGGTCTGCACCCCATGTGCTGCCAGTAAATTTTTGCAGGATGTTATTGTGTGCAGCTACTTTGTGCTTGGTGTGCAAGCAGTGTTTCCTATATGCTAGTGTTCGATTGAAGGTGACATCAAGATATTTAGGATGGAAACAATGTTCAAACTCTTGACCTTCCCTGGTGACTTTCAATTTCCTGTTGGCTTCACGGTTGCATAGGTGAAAAGCACACACTTGTGTCTTGGCAGGGTTAGACTTCAGGTGGTTATCTTTGAAGCAGCTGGAGAGCTCTTTCAAGGCATTAGTAAGCTGGATTTTGACTATTTCAAAGTCTTTTGCTTGTGTTGTTAGGCCAAGGTCATCGGCATATATAAAGCCCTTTGTGAGTGGTGGTTATGGCTGATGGCTAGTAAAGATGTTAAACAAGGTCGCTGCCTTGGCATAAATCATTCTTTGGCGTCCTCCATTTACTTCTCCTGCCCTGAAACTCCACATAGAAACTGCAGTTTTCTAGGAGGATCCGGATAGTTTTTGTAAAATCATAGTCCCGGGTAATATGGTAGACTTTCTGCAGCATTTTCCTATATTGCACCGTGTCATAGGCTGCTGTAAGGTCGACAAAAACTATTCCAGTAATGCAACCTTTCTCATATTCTTCCACAATGTACTCAGTCAGATTAAGAATTGGGCTGTACAGTTTTTCCCTGGTCTGAAATGGGGCTCTGTTGAATGCATTACTTACTCAACTTCATCAGGTACTAAGAGGGAGGAAAGTTTCCCCTTTGAAATTCCCTCTACTGCAAAACTTGTCCTCATTTACCTCTTTCTGTCCCAGATATATAACTTTATGTTCAAGACATAAAGGAAAAGTATGAGTTGTACAAAGAAAATAGGTCTCTGAGGGGGTGGGCAACATGAGCTGAAGGGCCCTTTGTGTCACCCAATTTCATCTTGGGGTGGGCTCCAAAACTTGTAAACAGGCTGTTGGTCCCAGATTTATCCAATGACTCGAATTTTCGAAAAGGACATATTGCTTCACTTTGTGAAGATGAACAATATTAAGAGAAATCTGAAACTTCTACATGAAACAATCCCTTGAATTATGCAAGGTAAAAAAAATATATGAAAAGCCCCTCTTTCACAAAGCTTAGCTACAGAAAAACAACTGGACTAGGATGCGGATGTTTCGAGATTTGTTGTGCAACGTATGCAAATCTTCTCCTTGGAAATATTTTTGATAATTTGAGTGCCTTGGCTGATATTTGCAACACATTTCAGCTTTCTGGCCAGAGCTAGAAAAGTTTGCAGGGAAAAGGTTAATGGTCTTTGTTAATAATGAATTGCTTAACAATTTCGTTCAGCTACACTTTATGTAAAAGTGGAGAAGTAACTG